AAATACTGATCAGGACTGGGTCCTGGATTCAGGATCCTCCTTCCATATGACACCAAATATAAGCTGTATTTCAGACTTTAGTAGTCTGGATGGGGGATTTGTAAAACTTGGAAATGATGAGTCATGCCAAGTAAAAGGAATTGGAAATGTGCTGTTGAAATTTAAAAATGGTCATCATATGTTACTAAAACATACTAGATATGTTCCAGCACTTAGAAGAAATCTCATATCCCTGAAAATTACCAAATTGGTATTAAAAATGGGTACACAAGTATAACAAGAAATCAAGAATTCATTGTCAGTTCACCTAAACTTAATGGGATATATATAATAGGTGCTGAAATAATTCCACCAAAAAATTCTGTGAATTCTATCACAAATTTCGATAAATTAGAACTGTGGCATAAAAGACTTGGCCACTTAAGTGAAAAAGGTTTTAAAACTCTATCATATCAAGGGGCATTTGGGAATGACCGTGTTCAAAAATTAACTTTCTGTGAACACTACATTATGGGAAAACAAGTCAGACTGCCTTTTAAGGCAGGGCTACACAAAACCCAAGATGTTCTTGAATACATACACTCTGATTTATGGGGACCATCACTAGTTTCTACTGTATCTGGTTACAGATACTATCTTCTTACAACTGATGATTACTCAAGAAAAACATGGATTTTCTTACTAAAATCTAAGTCTGATACTTTTACAATTTTCAAAGAATGGAATGTATTAATTGAAAACCAGACTGGTAAGAAGATAAAAGTCTTAAGAACTGACAATGGCCTTGAATTCTGCAATAATGAATTTGATCAATATTGTAGTAAACAAGGGATAATGAGACATAAAATCGTGAGCTACACTCCACAACAAAATGGGGTTGCTGAGAGGCTAAATAGAACAATACTTGAGAGGACTAGGTGCATGTTAATTAGTTCTGGCCTCCCAAAAATTTTATGGGGTGAGGCCGTGAAAACTGCCTGTTATCTAATCAATAAGTGTCCTTCCAGCTCACTAAATAACAAAATTCCTGAACAAATCTGGTCTGGTACAATGCTAGATTATTCCCACCTAAGAACCTTTGGATGTGCTGCTTATGCACATCATATTGAATCAAAATTGGACCCTAGATCATTAAAGGGTGTGTTCTTAGGATATGGGGAAAGTGTAAAAGGTTACAGATTGTGGTTAAGAGATGTGAGGGGTTTTAAGGTGATAACAAGCAGATCTGTTATCTTTAATGAAAATGAATTCCCTTGTCTTAGTGACAAATTTGTTGAAAAGTTGGGGAATGATGAATTCATTGCCACAGAAATTAATATTGATGACCACAATGCTGATGAACAGGCTCAGTTTGAGGTGGAGCCACATCAGATATTACCCCAAAATGAATCTGATGTTGAAATAATTCAAGATGAAGAAAATCTGGAGCTTGCACCTAACCTGCAGGGCTACCAGCTAGCTAGAGATAGAGAAAGGAGACAAATCAGACCTCCGTCTAGGTATAAGTATGCTGAGTTTGCATCTGATCAGTCTAATTCTGACTTGGTTGAATTAGAACCTGCCTCTTATGAAGAGGTTGTTTCTTCCAAGGAATCCTCTAAGTGGATTGCCGTAATGGAAGATGAAATGAACTCACTCTTTAAGAATGAAACCTGGATTCTAGTAGAAAAACCCAGAGATTGCAAATTGATTGACTGCAAATGGATTTATAAGATTAAAGAGGGTGAGACTAAGGCAAATGATAAAAGATACAAAGCTAGATTAGTAGCCAAAGGCTTTAATCAAAGGGAAGGGATAGATTACAACGAAATATTTTCACCAGTTGTTAAATATACTTCCATTAGAGTCCTACTTGCTAGAGTGACACAATTTGACTTGGAATTAGAACAACTTGATGTGAAAACTGCCTTCTTAAATGGTTCTTTAGATGAAACCATACATATAACTCAACCAAGAGGGTTTGAAGTGTCTGGTAAGGGAAACTTAGTGTGTCTCCTGAAAAAATCCTTGTATGGCCTGAAACAGGCCCCTAGACAATGGTATAAAAGATTTGACTACTTTATACAAGGCCTGAACTTCAAGAAGTCTGATTATGATCCCCGTTTCTATTATAAGAAAGAAAATGAGTCCGATTTTTTCTATCTGTTGTTGTATGTTGATGATATGCTTATTGCTGGTCATAATTCTGATGCAATTAACTCTATTAAAGAAAATCTGAAATCTGAATTTGAGATGAAAGATTTAGGATCAGCTAGAAAGATATTGGGCATGGAAATAAAAAGAGATAGGAAAAATGGAAAGTTGTTTCTATTACAAAAATCTTATATTGATAAGGTTGTTAAAAGATTTTCCCTTCATGAATCTAAGCCTGTCACTTTACCTTTATCTGCTGGAATGAAATTGTCTGTTGATCAATCACCTAAAACTGAAGAGGAACATAAAAGAATGATGAATGTTCCATACTCTAATGCTGTTGGATCTGTGATGTATGTTATGGTATGCTCTAGACCTGATATTGGTTATGCTGTGAGTGTTTTAAGTAGGTTTATGAGTAACCCAGGTGAAATACATTGGCAATGTATGAAAAGTCTGATTAAGTATTTAAAAGGAACATGTAACTTAGGTTTAATGTTCAAAACAAATAAAAATGGACTTATACTTAAGGGGTACGTAGATTCAGATTTTGCTGGAAACTCAGACAATAGGAAGTCTACAACTGCATGCTTTTATGTCATAAATGACACATGCATTAGCTGAAAATCCCAGCTTCAAAAATTAGTTGCATTGTCCTCAACCGAGGCTGAGTACATAGCTGCAACTGAAGCAGTTAAAAAGGGTTTATGGCTGAAGGGTTTACTTAGTGAATTAGGACTTATAGAAAGTCAGGTGGAGCTGTGTTCAGATAACCAAAGCGCCATTTTTCTAAGTAAAAATCCTATTTTGCATGATAGATCTAAACATATAGATGTAAAGTTCCATTTTATTAGAGATATCATTGATAGGGGTGATATTAGATTAATCAAAATACCTACTAAGGTAAATCGAGCAGATGCTGGAACTAAGGTAATCCCCATCACTAAATTTGTTGATTCTTTAATATTGATTAATCTTAAAGAAGACTGATTCTTTTATTTTGTTTTTACAGGTAATAAGAGCAAGTGAAATGAGAAGTAAGTTTGAATCCACTATTAGAGATGCACAAAAACAGCAAAGGTGGAGATTGTTAGTGTTATTGGGTTGCTGTTTTATCTGTGTGATGGTCCAGCCCAACTTACCTGACCCGGTTCAAGCCCAACAGTGAGAAGGATTTGGAATTGGTTGTTAAATGATAAAAGCGTGTTTTGTGAATTGAAATAGCAACTTACCCCTGATCTGCGACACGTGGTGCAATATGGACCGTTGGATCTGATTTGCGTGAATCAATTATTATTGTTACTAGGGTTTGAGATATTAGGCAACACACACACTTTTCATTTTTTCTCTGGACGGCAGTCTCCTTTATCCTTCGTGTTCTCTCTGTAATTTGTAGATTTTCTCTTGTGATCTGTTTGTAGATCTTTGAGTGAGAGTTAATTTTGAACTCTTGTGTGAGTTCGTTTATGTACTGAGAGGTTTGTGGTGCTGTGATTGGAACTTTGTGTTTCGGTGTGTTCTTGACACTTTTGCTGTATTTGGCCGTTTGATTTAGTGGATTCGAGCTTATTCCCTTGTGGATGCTCAACGGGGACTAGGCGATCTAACCAATCGCTGAACCTCGGGGCTTCGGCCGAAAAATCGCTTTGTGTTCTTATTGCTTTAAGTTCAGATTTGCATTTTTTATCTTAGTCCTTTGCGATTTTTTGTTGTTTTGAAAACGATCCTTGTTCCTACATCTAGGAATTGGCTGTGTACAGGAGCCAAATTGGGATTGCCGAAAGTAAAGAATACAGAGATCAAGAAAAACAATGGTGAGAATAGAATTCTCATTTTGATTCAGATGTGAATACTGAAGGTGCAAGTGAAGTTGTAGTGAGGATCTCCTCTGTATGGGTGGCTTTAAATTATATGGCCAAGTGGATTGACCAGTTGACTTGGGGCCTATAGACGTGTTCTACAAGTTTGAAATTGGCATAGGAGAGAGACTTCACTGAAAGGTTTTGAAAATCAATGTTCTATAAATTTGGAATTGGCGAGCGGACTTGGGGCCTATAGATGTGTTTCATAAGTTTTGAAATAGTGATTTAATGAGGAATATGTGGGTTTAAAAGTAATAAAAAAAGTTTAAGTTTACGTACGAAATATTTCATTATGAGAATACATAATTAAAAATGAGTTTGAGGATAAACAAACAAGTTTTATTTTAATGGTTGTCAAACAGAGGGCAAAAGCATGTATTTTAAATTTGATTATTATTAATCATGTCATTAAAATTTATTTTCAAAAATCAGGTGCTAATTAGGTTTTTAAAAACAAAAAATATATATTCTAATATTTATGAAATTAAATTATCGAAAGTAGAGTAATTAACCCTTAAATTAAAAGTAACTAAATAAGGATAAATATTACCCTTGCCCTCTACGTCCTCAGGCCCAATTGTAAATATCACAGCTGAACTCTCTCTCTCTCTATTTTCTCTCTTTATCTATTTACAAATACAAAATTTTCGGCCAAATTGGAGGTCGTTGATTCCACCCCATAAATTTTTGGAAGACTTCATTATTGTGGAGAATTGGAAGTAGAAAGAAGTAATTAGTATTCAGTTGAAGGGCACTTCAAATCATAAAGAATACTAATTTATTGAATTTGATTGTAGGTTATGTTGCTCAATTAGTACCAGAATTCAATTTAAATCTATCATAAAATTTTATTAGGTATTGAGTTCAAATTTCATAAGAACACAATAGAAATCCGTGAAACATAAAATTAACTCATACTTTTTTCAAGTAGATAGTACGTATGAGTTAACGATTTAAACACATGTCCAGATCATTACAAATTTGGGGCCAAAATATACACGAGAATAACAACTAAATTAGAAAGGAAATATCAACTTAGGGTGGAGAAAAAGATCTCATCTTCCATAACAAAATGAATGAACATCCGCATTTATTTTGCTTTTCAAATGATGCAATCAAGATCCTTAAGAATATAAAAGTACACTTATGAGACATGAAGTTAAAATTGATGCAGCTCCTTCATTTTGATATCCGTATCCGATCTGTTGCACTTTCCTTGATGCATATTTACTGGTAAATGCACGATATTTCACCTCATCAAGGCTGTGTTAAGAGGGCGTCTGATTGTTAATTTCCCGTTTATGTCGTCGTACAATGTTCCAAGGAACTATCATTATCGCTGGCAGTCTGACTGACACTATCAATGGAATGAATGTAATTACGGCACCAAGCGATGATAGTCTGTCACACGCTGTAGCTACATAGCTGAACGAAAAGATTACGAGAGGAAAGTAGAGAAATAAAAAGAGTGGATTAAAAGTGAGTGGAACATACGTTCCAATTGCCATACCAAAGGCCAATGATTTTCAATACAACATAAAAATCCAGACCCACATTTACATCCCAAACCAACCCGGCTTAACACTGAGTTTGCGTGTTGACTCGTGCTTCTAAAGTTGAAGTCTCCCTAATTGTCTTCACTTTCGGGTCTTCTCCCACAATCAATTGCCTCGATGAATTAAAGGAGTCATCGATCTTGATCTCTTGTCCCCAATGACTTGAATAAAATTTTTCTACCGTTGTCATGATGACAAAAGAACCTTAATTATGATTTTTTGAATTTATGATCGTTTACTTGAGCAGTGAAAACATTTAATCTTGCTCAATGGGAACATGAGATCAATTCTAAAGAAGTTATTCTACATAAATCATGACTTGACGTTTTATTTTCAAAATGTATTGCTACGTTGAATATATAATACAAGTAAATAAATTTGTGTCTTAGATTCAATAAGGTATTTAGGCTAGCTAAATGCTTTGCCTTCTAATATGTTCTACTGATTGGAGTCTATAAGTATACGAAGAGTTCATTTGATACAACTTTTGCTTTTACTTTTGCTTTTACATTTACTTTTATTTCTTATAGAAAAGTTAGATTCCTCAAAAACTCTTTTAAGTCAGACAAAGTATTTTTAGAAAATTATCCTAACATATTCAAAAGTAGTTTCTCAGTCGTAGAAGTAGTTTTTAAATTTTCAAAAATCTTGTCAAACGAACCCTAAGCTATCTTGACCGCGTAAATCTTCCTTCTCTTTACCTCTACTTGTTGGCATACATATATTATGAGAACGCAAACAAAATTTATCAAATTGGAACATTCTGTTGTTCGTTTTGCTCTCTTCTTGTATATTGTCACTCAACCACTAACAATATGTTTGGCACCAGTGGTACATGCAGACATTTTGAATTAGAGGAACGCTATTTGTTCGGGGTTGGAGATGAGGAATGAAATCCGACTCAATTTGCAAGCTGTATTGAGTTTAAATCATAAATAAAATTATTTAATTATCGAGTAAAATAATTTACACAATTTAATTGGATAAGATAATACAGCCAAACTACTTATATTAATTTACTTAGGCAAGCACCTTGGCCAACCACAAAAATACACTCACGCCCCCACCTATATTTTCTCCACTCATTCTATCTCACATACCTTCTCCTTGTTTCTCTCTGTATCTTCCGTTTCACAAACTCTGCCTTCCATATATACACTACATACATCAACTATATTTGTAGATAACAATATCGGTTGGCTGCACTTCTAAAAGGTTCTCATGTGGTGATTGATTAAGAACAGTAAACTTCTGGATAATTTCATTAAGACTGTAATTTTTATGAAATTGGATTCTTCTTTCTTCTTCTAGACTTGGATGCATCTGTATAAATTTATTTTCTTTACAATCTTCTATGGATGTTGGTAAATATAGCTGCCATTTTAGGACATTCTCTTCATCTAAAATCTGGAATATGATGAACAATTTTGTGTTTAATCAGTTAGTCTTCTTCAGGCTGGGGGGTTATAACTTATGCAGCAGAGTTTTCCAAGGTTTCTTCAAATTGATTTTGCTGAAGTTTTGCAACAGGAGTACCTCATCAAGGCTGTATTCAGAAGGTGTCTGATTGTTAATTTCCCGTTTATGTCGTCGTACAATGTCCCAAGGAACTATCATTATCGCTGGCAGTCTGACTGACACTATCAATGGAATGAATATAATTACAGCACCAAGCGATGATGGTCTGTCACACGCTGTAGCTTCATAGCTGAACGAAAAGATTCCGAGAGGAAAGTAGAGAAATAAAAAGAGTGGATTAAAAGTGAGTGGAACATACGTTCCAATTGCCATACCAAAGGCCAATGATTTTCAATACAACATAAAAATCCAGACCCACATTTACATCCCAAACCAACCCGGCTTAACACTGAGTTTGCGTGTTGACTCGTGCTTCTAAAGTTGAAGTCTCCCTAATTGTCTTCACTTTCGGGTCTTCTCCCACAATCAATTGCCTCGATGAATTAAAGGAGTCATCGATCTTGATCTCTTGTCCCCAATGACTTGAATAAAATTTTTCTACCGTTGTCATGATGACAAAAGAACCTTAATTATGATTTTTTGAATTTATGATCGTTTACTTGAGCAGTGAAAACATTTAATCTTGCTCAATGGGAACATGAGATCAATTCTAAAGAAGTTATTCTACATAAATCATGACTTGACGTTTTATTTTCAAAATGTATTGCTACGTTGAATATATAATACAAGTAAATAAATTTGTGTCTTAGATTCAATAAGGTATTTAGGCTAGCTAAATGCTTTGCCTTCTAATATGTTCTACTGATTGGAGTCTATAAGTATACGAAGAGTTCATTTGATACAACTTTTGCTTTTACTTTTGCTTTTACATTTACTTTTATTTCTTATAGAAAAGTTAGATTCCTCAAAAACTCTTTTAAGTCAGACAAAGTATTTTTAGAAAATTATCCTAACATATTCAAAAGTAGTTTCTCAGTCGTAGAAGTAGTTTTTAAATTTTCAAAAATCTTGTCAAACGAACCCTAAGCTATCTTGACTGCGTAAATCTTCCTTCTCTTTACCTCTACTTGTTGGCATACATATATTATGAGAACGCAAACAAAATTTATCAAATTGGAACATTCTGTTGTTCGTTTTGCTCTCTTCTTGTATATTGTCACTCAACCACTAACAATATGTTTGGCACCAGTGGTACATGCAGACATTTTGAATTAGAGGAACGCTATTTGTTCGGGGTTGGAGATGAGGAATGAAATCCGACTTAATTTGCAAGCTGTATTGAGTTTAAATCATAAATAAAATTATTTAATTATCGAGTAAAATAATTTACACAATTTAATTGGATAACATAAGACAGCCAAACTACTTTTATTAATTTACTTAGGCAAGCACCTTGGCCAACCACAAAAATACACTCACGCCCCCACCTATATTTTCTCCACTCATTCTATCTCACATACCTTCTCCTTGTTTCTCTCTGTATCTTCCCTTTCACAAACTCTGTCTTCCATATATACACTACATACATCAACTATATTTGTAGATAACAATATCGGTTGGCTGCACTTCTAAAAGGTTCTCATGTGGTGATTGATTAAGAACAGTAAACTTCTGGATAATTTCATTAAGACTGTAATTTTTATGAAATTGGATTCTTCTTTCTTCTTCTAGACTTGGATGCATCTGTATAAATTTATTTTCTTTACAATCTTCTATGGATGTTGGTAAATATAGCTGCCATTTTAGGACATTCTCTTCATTTGAAATCTGGAATATGATGAACAATTTTGTGTTTAATCAGTTAGTCTTCTTCAGGCTGGGGGGTTATAACTTATGCAGCAGAGTTTTCCAAGGTTTCTTCAAATTGATTTTGCTGAAGTTTTGCAACAGGAGTCTCTGTCTGCCTCTAAATGCCTAAATGCTAAATCTGATTTTGTGATTCAAAAAATAAAAAGCTTAAAAGTCGTTGGGTCATGTTACCCACCAGGACCTACTGTAGGTCCGCCAGTGTTTAGCACTATATTGAACTAATTGAATTTAAGTTCGAGGCTGTAATTCAAATTTAGCAAATTATCCTAAGAATTTACTTGATTAAATATCTGGTAGTCAATATGAAATTCTTTTATGTGCTAGCACACATACTTGAATATTCCTATACACACGTGATGTTTATCTCAATTTACGTAAATCATTTGGGGAATTGATTATACAATAAATCTACTTGTACAAAGTTGGATTACAAAAGTTGAGTTACAAAGTGTGTTGGCAAAATCCATACCATTGATTTCAAATGATTTAAAAATCTGTTTTTGAAATAATTGGTGTGGATGTGATTTTGTTATCCAACTTTGTCAACCCCTTTGTAAGTGTAGCCTAACTCTTGATTATAAACTTTGGTCTTAATTTGATGTATTTAGGCAATTGAAACTGAATACGGGGAAGGTTTTGAAACAATTAGGCCAAATGGGCCCATTAAAGTTGATGTGGTAAGCAGCCTCGAATGTACTTCATATATTCTATTTTGATTGTTTCTTGAAATTAAAGATGTAGTAATGGTTAATCATCTTGAAAATGAGTATTTATATCATATTTTTGTTGTATCAATTAAGATATTGTGTAGTGTGGAGCATGATGATTTGAAAAAGCTTGTTTTCGTATAAAAAAAACATTAAGAAATGCAGTAAGATTTTGTAGTCCTCGGAATGATTTTGATATTTTTATTATTATAAGTCTTGATTTACGATTTTTACTCGAATAGAATAGACTTTAATTGCAAAGCAGTGGCATTTTGCATATAATACTCCAAGAAAGACTTTCAAATTCCAAAATGTGGACAGTTTGTACGAATTCAATGAAGTTAAAGCCCCCAATGCTCCAAAGCAGTTGAAAGTTCCAAGGTCTCAATTGAGTACAAAGAAGCTAGCCGACATCTAAGCAACCTTCTTCTCATTTAGTAGCGAAGATAATTGGGCACGGAAAATTTTATTAATGACAATACAAACAAAGATATGAAATTAAATTTTTGTATATTTTAGAATTATTTGTACATATAGAAGCAATAGCTTTCAGACCTATTTTCTTCAACTATTCCATTGAAGATAGTTTGGCTTCTCTTTTATGATTTGTGAACATATATGTAGATGAAGTCTTGAAGCTCCGTACTGGCGCTTCTATTGCACATTGAATCCTGACCATTAAAGTATAGCTTCTATTGCACTTTTCGTAAATTTCAAGCAATTAAAAGTTTAGATCTTTCTCTTACTCTTGCTTACCTTTTATCTTATTTATTTTTCATTGAAAGATACCACTACAAAAGTTGTTGCTTCTAAAGTTAATCTTAATAAAATGACATCCATAACAAAAATTATTATTTTGAACTGCTTTCAATATTTTATATCCAAGGTTAACATATTTTCTATTTTTCTTTATATAATTTGCTCTTTATCTTTACTGTTTTCTTGTCAGACTTCTTTATGTACCAACTAAATATTTTCTTCGCTTCCCAAAAATTTATTCAATGTAATTCTCTCTAATAAATACTTAATACTCAAGTAAATCAACACACTAATATCACCTTCAAGAAAATTCAAGCCATGCATTGCATGGCCAAAAACTAGTATAGAAAAAAGATTATAGACTTGTGTTTACCAATGCAATCATTCAACATATTGTTTGACTTTGCTTCCCACATGATCAAGCTCCTTCAACACTATTTATTCTATATATTTATTTTTTATCATGCATTCACATAATAAAATATTATACACATAAATTCAAAATTTTCCTTACTTTTTAATCTCACATTCTTAAAAAAATCAATATTCAAAAAATGACCATCAAACAGGGGCTAAATATGAAGTGCGATTTTTAATTAATACATAGACTACTATACTACACTAAACAACAAAAATCGAGCATTACAAGCATCTTAATATTTTGTGAACATCAAATGTATAAAAGTAATTTTTCAGTCACAAAATCTACAAGTTCATTGTGGAATTTTGTTTTCAAATATTTGCTTTGAATCAATCCTAATGACCAAGAACATCGCCTTGATTGGAGTTTTATCGTTGATTATTAATATGTTTGACCAATTTTGCAGTCCTTGTTTCTAGTCCCATCTTGATCCTAATTAAATTTGTTAGGTCTAAAAGTGTAATTGACGATTCTGTGGACAAAACGAGCTAAATTGTATAATTGTAAAAGTCGGGGACTTAATTGAACATTGGTGTAAAAGTCAGAGACTTAGGGTACAATTTGTATAGATGAGGTAAATTAGTGTTTGAGTCCTTGAAGGAGTCCAAGATGTCCAAGAAGATCACACAAGATCATTGGAATGCAATTGAAAGTCTAAAGGAAATCAAAGAGCTGCGCAAATTATGTTCCGAATTTTTAGTCATAAATTGCAATGCATTTTTCACATATAAAATATTGGAATTTGGACAAGGCTATTTCCAGAATAATTTTAGTTATCTTTCTAATGCAACTTGAATTACCTCAATCGGATATTGGAAGAGAAAGTTATGATGAAAATATAGACAACTGCTTTCCATCACTCGATTCTCGCTTGAGTGACACTCCTATGTGGCAAAAACCCTATTTCACATTTTTGAAGTGTTTTACTCGGCCCATACCATCTAAACACCTTCAAATATAAATACTCAAGCCCTAGGATGAAATTGAAGAGGTTGTTATATTATTCTTTCATTGTAAAAGATATTCATAACATCTTTGAAGAGATCCAAGGTACAATTAATTGGAGATTTCATCTACATCAATCTTGTAATCCGACAACCATTATTTTGGGAAAAAAACATTGAATCTACATAACCCAAAATACCTTGCTTCCTTAATCTATTGAAGAATGAACTCTCTCATTGGAGGATTGAGAGAGGTGGATTGAGGCGCAGTTATAAGCACAAAAACGGACGGTTCTTGGTGTTCCACTTAGTGAGACAATCAGCTAAGGACTAGGAGGTTGTAGTGGATAGCAGATTGGACTGCAGGAGGTAGATCAAGAAGTCTAGGAAGAGGCTAGAAGTATCTATAGCAGTAGATCGTGAGACTGGAACAGCGGATCTGATTGGGTAAGGAGTTTGGTATAAGTTGTACTTGCTGAATTGGTATAGTGGAGGTAATTGGCTTAGTCCCGGAGTTTTACCCACGTTGGGGTTTCTCCGTCATATTATTGTTTGTTATTTACTGCTTTACATAATACACAAATTGCGGCATTCCAACATAAGTTAATTGACTTGTATGATTAATTACCTAGACAACTAATTAAAGTGACTTGTTGCTTTAGTTAGATTAATTTCGCACGTAAGGTCAAATTGGTTAAAGTGAAATCTAAAACGTAAACTTGGTAATGCATAAAATTTGAACTTGAAACTGTATCACATTAGTCGAACTTTCTAGCATATTTAAGCGTTCTAGGTCAAATTTTTTTTCAAGTGGTATCAGAGCCTAAAATCGCGTCCTGACCTTAAATAGTCTAGATGAGTA